GGGGGAGCAGAGCACTTCACCAGAACTGGCGGAGCCCATGCCAGGTTCCTGCTCCAGCCTCTCCTTGTGCACGGCCACACTTTTAGTTGTGTGCAGCCGCGCACACACACACACCTTAGAGGGAACCTTGCTGGCAGTTGCATATTAAGCCAGAGACCAAGTCAGTGAACAGTGGCTGCAAACAGGTGTAACCCAGGCAGTACTCCAAGAGATACCCCCTGTCCAATTGAAGGGATCAAAGCAGGTGCACAAGCACTGTGGGAGGTGTAGGGACTCTTCTCCCCCTATAGAGCAGAGCCAGATCACCAATGGGGACTTATTAAAAGGTGTATGGTTGAGAGAACAGTACTGGGAACATAACCAGTATAAACCAGGGGGGGTATAGGGGACACTAGAACGCCCTGAGGGGGCAGGATTCAACAAAGATTAGAGACTTACAATCACAGACATATTCATCCAGTTGACAAAAGACAGGTTAACCAAAATATAAAACACAAACAGCAGAACAAACAATACTGGTTGGTGAAGTATAAAAGGCACAAAATACAAAGGGATATAGGGCCTATGTACTTGGAGGGGGAGAAAGGGGACAACACAATGACCCCTTTTCACTGCAACAAGGATTTCTCCCTGTTAACTCACTCACCCCAGCTGGGACTTGAGCTCAGATTTCCCATATGGTAGACAGAAGCTCTACCACACAGCCACAAGTGCTGGTACTGTGCCAAGTTGCTAGGGGTCTTGAACTTGCAGGAGCCCCAGCCTCACATCAAGCTGCCTAGCCTCTTATTGGAGGAGCTGGAAGCAGAGCTGGGAACCTCTCAGGTCACTGCTCACATCCTTGCTGGAGCTGGGGAACCTCTCCTTCTGGCTGCAGCCTCTTGTAGGCAATCCTGGAGCCTAGTGGGGAGCCTCTCCTGCCAGCTGCACGCCGCACTGCTGAGGGGCCAACTGCTGCCTGCAGGTCCCACTCCTTCAGCTGTTTCTGGGGCAACTGCTCCCACCCCACTGGCCCATTTCTTGCCAGCTCTTTGAAGCTCCTTCCTTGTGGTCCCTCACTGGTCTCTGCTGAGTCAGCTGCGCTGCCCCTTTTATCCACCTCCAGGTGACCCAAGGGGCCAATCAGGGGACATGGAGGGTGAGTCTCTGGGGCCTGATTGGTGAGGAAAGGGAATCCCAAGTCCTCCAATCATCTTTTGCCCTTTCAAAACCCCTGGGCTAAGTCACTGCCAAACTAGCCCGTCACAGAGGGTAAGAGAAGGAAAGGGAGAGAAGCCTGACACCAGGTACCAGATCCTGCCCAGGGAAAGTAAATGATCCAGAGATGCCTGTGCCTTTGGTTTGCTGAGTGTTTGTTTGGTGAGCTGTGTGTGTTTGGGCCATGTGCTCAGAGAAGCTGGGAATGTTGCTGGCTGAGTGATTGCTGAGTGATTGCTGCCTGGGACAGAAGCACTGGCAAGAGGGTGGAGCCAGTCCAGGCCCAGCAGGGTATAAAAGGAAATTCCCTGAGTGACCAGGGAGCCAGCAAACAGGGTAAGTAGCTTGCAGGTCAGTTTGCTCCCTGCTGGGCCCTGCCCCCTTGCTTTTGAGGGGACAGCCTTTCAGCTTTGTGTGAGGAAGCAGGAAAAAGGAACCTTTTGGGACCAATGAGCAGTAAACAGGTCAGCTTCCAGGTGAGCTCGCTAGGGAAGGTGTGCTTGGAAGAAGAGCAGTAAGAGAGAGAAACCCAGGGAAATGGCTGAAGGGCATTGCAATGCCAGAGCCACTGCCTCTGCTTGCACCTGTGAGGTTTCTATCCAGGCAAGACAACTCACCATCAAGACTTCCACCCAGGTCCAGCTTTGGTGCTGTGGGGACTGTGGCTTGCAGGTTCCTTCCAGTGATGGCCAGGTTGGGCTCAGTCATACAAAGTTGTTCCAAGAAAGAGTGCTGGGAAGAGATGGGATCCATTTGATGAGGAGAGGGAAGAGCATCTTCACAGACAGGCTCACTAACCTAGTGAAGGAGGGCTTTAGACTAGGTTTGCTGGGGGATGCAGACAAAAGCCCTGAGGAAAGTGTGGAAGGGGGAAGCAGAAGGAAGAGCAAGCAGGACTGGGCAACAGGGGAGGTGCTCTTGTACTTGCTGAGAAATCAGAGCAATTGACTACTTACCTTAGGTGCCTGTACAGGAATGCACAGAGCCTGGGAAACAAGCAGGAAAAATTGGAAGTCCTTGCACAGTCATAGTACATGTTTGGAATAACAGACTAGGTAGGATAGCTCGCATGACTGGAACACTGTCGTGGATCAGGAAGGACAGACAGGGGAGAAGAGGAGAAGGAGTTGTACTTTATGTAAAAGAGCCATATGATTGCTCAGAGCTCCAGTATGAAACTGGAGATAGGACTGTTGAAAGGGGAGAGCAACAGGGGTGATGTTGTTGTAGTGGGTGTCTGCTATAGACTGCCAGACCAGGAGGAAGTGGTGGGTGAGGCTTTCTTCATACAGCTATCAGAAGTTTCCCAATCCCAAGCCTTGGTTCTTATGGGGGACTTTGAACGCCCTGGCATCTGCTGGGAAAGCAATATAGGAGTGTTCAGGAAATCCAGGAAGTTCTTGGGAGGTGTTGAGGACAACTTCCTGCTGCAAGTGCTGGAGTGGCCAACTAGGGGCTATGCTCTTCTTCCCTGTTTGAGAGCAGCAGGTCAAGAATTGGTGGGGAATGTAGTAGTAGATGGCAACTTGGGCAGCAGTGACCACGAGATGGTTGAGTTCAGGATCCTGAGGAACGGAAGGATGGAGAAGAGCAGAGTAAGGACCCTGAACTTCAGAAAAGCAGACTTCAACTTGCTCAGGGAACTCATGGGCAGGATCCCCTGGGAAGCCAGTCTGAAGGGCGCCCCCGGGAAAGCCAGTCTGAAGGGGAGAGGAGTCCAGGAGAGCTGGCTGTACTTTAAAGAAGCCTTACTGAGAGAGAGAACAAAACTATCCTGATGCACAGGAAGACTAGCAAGTATGGCAGAAGACCAGCTTAGCTTAGGAGGAAACTCTTCAGTAAACTACATAACAAAAAGGAAGATTATAAGAAGTGGAAACTTGAACAAATAACTAGGGAGGAGTTTAAGAGCATTGCTTGGGCATGCAGGGATTAAGTCAGGAAGTCCAAAGTACAATTGGAGTTGCAGCCAGCAAAGGATGTGAAGGGTAACAAGAAGGGTTTCTACAAGTATTTCAATAGCAAGAGGAGGATCAGGGAACATGTAGGTCCCTTACTGAATGGGGGAGGCAACCTTGTGACAGAGGATGCAGAAAAGACTGAATGTTCAATGCCTCTTTCACCTCAGTCTTCACAGGTAAGGTCGGCTCCCAGACTACTGCACCGGGCAGCACAGTTTGGGGAGAATGTGAGCAGCCCTCAGTGGTGAAAGAATAGGTTAGGGACTATTTAGAAAAGTTGGACATATACAAGTCCATGGGGTTGGATGGGATGCACCCAAAGGTGCTGAGGAAGTTAACTGATGAGATTGCAGAGCCACTGGCCATCATCTTTGAAAATTCATGGTGATCAAGAGAGGTCCTGGATGACTAGAAAAGGTCAATTTTATAGTGCCCATATTAACAAAGGGGAAAAAAAGAGGATCCAGGGAACTATAGACCAGTCAGCCTCACCCCAGTCCCTGGAAAAATCATGGAGTAGATCCTTAAGGAATCCATTTCTAAGTGCATGGAGGAGAAAGTAATTAGGAACAGTTGGCATGGATTCACCAAGGTCAAGTCATGCCTGACCAACCTGATTGCCTCCTATGATAAGATGATTGGCTCTGTGGATGTGGGGAGACCAGTGAATGTGGTATACCTTGATTTTTAGCAAGGCTTTTGATACAGTCTCACAGACAAACTAAGGAAGTATGGGTTGAATGAATAGACTCTAAGGTGGATAGAAAACTGGCTGGATTGTTGGGCTCAGAGGGTAATAGTGAATGGCTTGATGTCTAGTTGTCAGCCGCTCTCAAGTGGAGTGCCCCAGGGGCTGGTCCTGGGGCCAGTTTTGTTCATTGTCTTCATTAATGACCTGAAAGATGGCATGGGGTGCACCCTCATCCCAAATCTGTAGACGACACCAAGCTGGGGGGAGTAGTAGATATGCTGGAGAGTAGGACTAGGATTCAGAGTGACCTAAACAAATTGGAGGATTGGGCACAAAGAAATCTCATGAGATTTAACAAGGACAAGCACAAAGTCCTGCACTTAGGATGGAACAGTCCCATGCACCAGTACAGGCTGGGGACTGACTGGCTGGGCAGCAGCTCTTCAGAAAAGGACCTGGGGGTTACAGTGGAGAATAAGCTGAATATGAGCCAACAGTGTGCCCTAGTTGCAAAGAAGGCTAACAGCATACTGGACTGCATTAGTAGGTATGTTGCCAGCAGCTCAAGGGAAGTGATTCTTCCCTTCTATTCAGCACTTGTGAGGCCACATCTCAAGTACTATGTTCAGTTTTGGACACCCTCCCCTCCCCGCCCCCCCCCATGACAGAAGGGATGTGGACAAATTGGAGAGAGTCCAATGTATGGCAACAAAAATGGTTAGGGGGCTGGGGCACATGGCTTATGAGGAGAGGCTGAGGGACTGGTCTTATTTAGTCTGCAGAAGAGAAAACTGAGGATGGATTTGATATCAGCCTTCAACTACGTGAAGGGTGGTTCCAAAGACAATGGAGCTAGACTGTTCTCAGTGGTGGCAGATGGCAGAACAAGGATCAACAGTTTCAAGTTGCAGCAAGGAAAGTTTAGGTTAGAAACTAGGAAGAATTTTCTCACTAGGAGGGTAGTAAAATACTGGAACAGGTTACCCAGAGAGGTGGTAGAGTCTCCATCCTTGGAGGTTTATAGACCCAGATAGACCAAACTTTAGCTGGGATGATCCAGTTGGGGAGGGTCCTGCTTTGAGCAGGGGGTTGGACTAGATGATCTCCTGAGGTCCCTTCCAACCCTAATTTTCTATGATTCTATATCAGGGCTGCTCAGCACTACAAAGCAGTCAGAGGAGGACAGCCTTAGCTGGACCTGTGTTCTGGTAAGTGAAGGGGCCAGGGGGAGCTCTGATTTTTCATGATAAACACAAAATCAAACATAAAAATGTATAGGTATTTAGAATTTATTTTATGATAGTGATTTGACTGTTAGACTTCCAAATTGCTTTAAAATGATAAATTATATCAATAAAATGTGATCAACTAATACCCATATACATATTAGTGGCTTTTTTATTTTAATCAAGAAAATATGCAGATTTGGTTTTTTTTAACTGGAGAATTTGCAATTTTTAAAGTTTATTTTTATCAGGGAATTTGTGATTTAAAAAAAAAAAAAAACAACAACAGAAAAAACCCAGTATCCCTGTTGATAATGAGCATGAGCCCTAGAGAAGGGCTGTTTGTAGCTGGTATATGTCAGGTGACATCACCTGCTCCTATACTTACCATGTTATGTGGATCTGCAGTGCATACTAGACTAGAAAAGTAGATGAGGTAAGTTAGCTCTGGTTAGGAAGGTAGACTACAAAGGAAGGCTGATATATTTTACTCAAAGCAATACCATCAGCTCTGTATTTTCAGTAATTCATTTTACTGCTTTAGAAACTTTTAAGAATAAAAAATGCAAATGCACCTTGGATGTGCTGATTATTTAGGAATGTACAAAAACATGAAAAGTAACTATAATGAAGTGTCTCCTGGGTGCCTTGGAACATCCAAAAGGGACACAGAAGAGGTTCCCTAGGAAACGAGATGCTCTCCAAAGCATTTTTTAATCTTGGCCAGCTGACAATTAGTCAATTGTGCTCTAAACATTGTTGCTAGTAGGTATGTGATTCAACTCAGAAGTGCTGTTGTTAGGATTAAATGTGGGGAGTCTTGGACTAGAGAGAACCTGCAAGGGAAAGAGGCTGGATAGATTAGTTCCTGGCTGCATAAATTCTTTCTGAGCCTAGTGAAAGGGAGAAAAGATACATCACTAATTTATCCAAAAAAGACAGTTGACAGCACTTTAAGAAAATCTTAAGGCCAGACACACAGCGGCAACGCATAGGGGGTGCATGTGCACCCCCTGAGAGCACCTGTGTGTCCCCTGACAGGCCGCACACCCCGCTTAGGTGATGGGCAGGCAGGAGCGCTGGAGCCCCCAACCCCTGTGAGTGCCAGCTGGGGAGTGGGAGCGCCAGATATAGTGCCACAGCTGCTTCTGGGAGCTCTGAAGCTGCTTCCCGGTCAGTGAGATTGGCCACAGGGGGACCCTCCCCCCGACTGGTCACTGGGGGGACAGATGCTCCCCCTGCCTAAGGTGGCACCAGTCGCCCATGAAGACACAGATCCCCACTGGCAGTAGTGTAGATGCACACTATTTATCCACGAGTTCCCTGATACCTTAGGAACATGCATGCACAGTAGCACACCTTAGGAAGGTGTCACATTCACTGTCTTCTGTCGCTGACCAACTATAATTCATGCACCTTTGGGCTTGAGTGTAGGAAGCAAATGCTATAATCATGTCTAATCCATAATGGGGAGTGCAAAGGAGAATAATTCAGCTTCTACTTATGCCCTCTTGTATTTTGACCAGGCACGGGGTAGGCACAGTGTTGTCCTTAATTTTCTGGAAAAAGCCTGCAGTGGTCCTTGCAGTCTTTCCTGGTTGTTCACTGAATTAATCATTTTGCAAATCAAAGAGTTTCGGATGTTGAAAGGAGGAGTGGTTCTGCAGGTGAACTCTCTCTTCCAAAGCGTTTCATAGAAATAAGAAGTTGGAGAATTGTACCTCCAAAATGCATACATTTTTCTGAAATGGTTTCTGCTTACAGGAAACAGATGTGGTAGTATCTCAAGTATAAGTAATAAGTGTTTAACAGACAGACTGGTATAATTGCCTGCCTCGTCAGCTAGTATGCAAAGTGCACAAACAGATACCTTCATAGCTTTATTACATGTACATGCTTGTGTTTCATTGAGACATACAATGAAAATAAACTGCATGATCGTCAGTCATCTTAAGAAAAGCAGTTAAAAGTTAAAGTGTGCCTGGAGTCATTTTAAAAGTGCTGGGAAAATTGGGAGTTTAAGAAGTCTTTTCCAAGTTGAGCTCTGATTTGTAATTCACATTCATAATATGAAAAATAAGGTATTATGACACATAATATGTGATATTAACATTTGTAAAATCTTAAGTATATTTTGTTTGTCTCCTTGTAAGACATGTTTCAGACAAGTATTATAGTCTATTAATTGTAAAATCATCAGGTATGATTTTGTACAGAAACATTTTACTTAAGAAAAGGTGGGGACATTTCTCAGTTCAAATAGATAAAGAACATGCCTCTCCTTTTCTCAAGCAGAGAACTATATTTCTTGTAGATAAGAGTGTGCACTTCAAAAATTGTTTAAATAGTAAATAATAGTTGAGGCTTAATATATTTCTGACATTGTACTATAATTTTACAAATATTGCATAAGCTGTTTCAGGAGAATACATCTTTGATGTTATGTCAAGATATATTAGGATATTAAGTCATGTAAAACAACGCCTAAAATTTTGTTCATTGCAATATAGCACACTGTGTGTGGTAAGGGCGATGAGCAACAGGAAACTGAAATAGTCTACCAAGTTCTGATGATACTTTAAATTAATTAGGATGTATTTATGTGAGAACGGTTTGAAAATGAAAGATCAATTTTATCAACATCTACGAGAAATGATAAAAACAGAAGAGTAAAAACTAGAAAATCTTGACCATTTTCTATAACACAGTTTTGGTCATGTGGGACAAATACTGCTACACAAATAGTCATCAAAGGGAAAAACCAAATGATGGAATCAAGGCAGGAAATGGAGTGCCTATTATTTCCATTCCTGTTCCACCAGTTTTCAGGTAGTGGAAAGAAGTGGAGTATAAAACTCAGATTTTGCTAGCTTAAGGAGTCATGGTCTTTGTAAGGAACAAGGCAAAACAGTTGCTTCATGCTTGATCTTGCTCAGTTAGTCCTCAAAGAAACTTCTCCCTTTGATTCACAGTTATGTAGATGCGAGGGAAGGAGATTATACAACACCATATGACTTCAGAGAAGTGTCAACATCACTTCTGAGATTTCAGTGACGCATGCACTTCAACTATGGAATGGTTAGGTAAGCAGAGAAACCACACATCTAACTATACACTCGACAGTCTTTTAAAATGAACGATTAGCCAATTAAGAATCGAAATGCCCCATTTCTTTTTGTGATAGGTGCCAAATCTCAGGCCCCACCTCCACACAGGCCCACCACCTGTCTATGGGTAGACTGCTAATCTTGCTCATCTGCCACGCCTTGTTGTAATTGAATTAAGTTGTTAATGAGTTGGGAGGTTGCCCTTTGTGTTCCCATCTGTACACAGGTAGAGAGCAAACCAGGAAAGCCAAGGCTGTGATGGAACTCCAGCTAGCTACAAATATCAAGGACAATAAAAAGTCCTTTTTTAGATATGTGGGGAGCCGGAGGAAAAGCAAGGGCAACGTTGGACCCCTGCTAAACCAGATGGGGCAACTGACAACCAATGCCCAGGAAAAAGCAAACTTGCTAAATGGGTACTTTGCATCAATTTTTCAACAGTCCCATGGGATGGCTCTCCCCACTATGGGTCAGGGAGGCCCAGGCAAGGGAGATTCCTTGCCCTCCATCAAAGCTGACCTTGTGAAGGAACACCTTGACAGGCTGGATATCTTCAAGTCAGCTGGCCCTGATGGGTTATACCCAAGGGTACTCAGGGAGCTGGCGAGCATCATAGCTCAGCCCCTGGCGCAAATCTTTGAGAGCTCTTGGCGCTCTGGTGAAGTGCCCGATGATTGGAAGAGGGCCAATGTTGTGCCTATCTTCAAGAAAGGGAGGAAAGTAGATCTGGCAAACTATAGGCCCATCAGCCTGACCTCTATCCTGGGAAGGTCTTGGAAAAGATTATCAAGGAGGCCATCCTTAACAGACTAGCTGAAGGCAACATCCTGAGGGATACCCAGCATGGGTTTGTTGCGTGTAGGTCTTGCTTGACCAATCTCATTTCCTTTTATGAACAGGTGACATCACCTGGACAAAGGGGGAGAGATTGACATTGTATATCTTGACTTTAAAAAAGCCTTTGATCTGGTATCCCATGATCACCTCTTGGCTAAACTGGCTAACTGCAGCCTTGACCTCACCATGATTCGCTGGCTAGGGAATTGGTTCAGAGAGTGGTGGTTGACAGGAACCAATCGTCTTGGTGCGCTGCAACCAGTGGGGTCCCTCAAGGCTCTGTCCTAGGGCCTATACTATTTAACATCTTCATCAATGATGTGGACATTGGTGTCAGAAGTGGACTGGTCAAGTTTGCCGATGACACCAAACTCGGGTAAAGCATCCACACCTGAGGACAGGAGGATGATCCAGGCAGATCTTGACAGGCTCATGAAATGGAGGGGATGAGAACCTGATGGTGTACAACACCGAAAAATGCAAGGTTCTCCACCTTGAAAAACCTGCAGCATGCTTATAGGCTTGGTAGTGCTACGCTGGTTAGCACTACAGATGAAAGGGACTTGGGGGTCATGATTGATCAAGAGATGAACATGAGCCTTCAGTGTGATGCTGCGGCTAGTAAAGCGAGCAAAATGCTGGCTTGCATCTATAGATGCTTCTCAAGCAAATCCCAGGACTTCATTCTCCTGTTGTACTCGGCCTTGGTGAGGCCACAGCTGGAGTACTGTGTCCAGTTTTGGGCTCCACAATTCAAAAAGGATGTGGAGAAGCTTAAGAGGGTGCAGAGGAGAGCCACGCGCATGGTCAGAGGTCAGGAAAACAGGCCTTATGATGAGAGGCTGAGAGCCATGGGACTCTTCAGCCTGGAAAAGTGCAGGCTCAGGGGTGATCTGGTGACCACCTATAGGTTTATCGGGGTGCTCATCAGGATCTGGGGGAACGTCTGTTCACCAGAGCACCCCAAGGGATGATGAGATCAAACGGTCACAAACTCCACTGCGACCGATTCAGGCTGAACATAAGAGAGAAATTCTTCACTGTCCGGGCCCCTAAGGTTTGGAATAGACTGCCCTCGAAGGTGGTTCAAGCACCCACTTTGAACACTTTCAAGACACATTTGGATGCTTAGGTTGCTGGGATCCTATGATCCCTGCTGACTTCCTGCCCCTGGGGCAGGGGGCTGGACTCAATGATCCTCCGGGATCCCTTCCAGGCCAAATGTCTATGAAATAAATACACACTCCGACCACCCCTACACATGTCCTGTGCCTCGCAGCTGTTTCTCCCCCTGGTTGGCACTCTTTAAGTGCTTATCTTCTCCCCGGGTTCACTTGTGTCTCGGCCCCTCTCTGGGCCTTTTCATGCATCTCTCTCTGGGCCACTTCTTCATGCCTCTCTCTCTCTCTAGGCTCTGCCCAGCTCCTGTGCCCTGTGTTCTGTCTCTTTAAGAGGGTAACACTTTTAAGAGAACACATCTCTTAGCCCTGGGTACCTTAGGCCCCTGGATCCTCACAGCTGTTGTAGGCAGCAACCTAGGTAGCATCTAGGCTCAGGTAGCTCACTTAAGTAAAGGCTCCTTTCCTTGGCAGTTGCTAGATGAAGAATGTCTCTGGCAGCTCCAACCCTAGTTTATATGTTCCCCAGGGCCCTGCCTCCTCCTGATCAACTGACTGCCTGCAGGTGCGACCGATTACCCTATTAGCCCGTTGCTTAGGCAACTCACAGCTGTGGAGCTCTGCCTAGCCCTCTGAACAGCCTGGCCAGGCTACTTCTGCCCTTTGAAGTAGTACGCACGTCCTGGTGCCCTGCTATGCTTTTTAAAATCAGAGTTGCAAATGAACAACAAATACTTCTTATCAATGATTAGACAAGAGGGAGTTGTGTTTAAAAGTGGAAATAAAACTCAAAGTTTCATGTTATATGGCTTCGCTGTTTGTTTTAAATTGCTTTACATTAAACATGGAGATTTAAAACAAAAAAAACCCCTCAGCCTTTTAATATTATTTCTCTTTGGAGAGTGCATTTGCTAAAGAATATAGACCTGTCCTGCTATGCTGTTATCAGATTTTATAAATGTAAAGATATTGAAATGTCTTTTTTTAAATGCAGTTCTATCAGAAAGATTTCTCTTTTTTTCCCTCTTCAAGAGGCTTCATTTTATTGAGTACACATTAAGACTATCAAGATCAAAGCCACTGTCGACATTTTTAGAAAAGTATATTTTCTTTGTAGCATTAATTGAGAAAATGTATATATCTGTTAACAACTTAGTAAATCAGAATCTTGGGGTAGGCCAATAGCATTCCTTTTATATCTCGCATACCTAAAGAAATATAAACTAACTGAGAAACATGAAACTAAGCAAAAGGGTTTTGTGGTGCATTTTAAAACAGACCAGGTTGGAAATGAGATGGGAGATTGATGTAATTCCTCCAAGACTTCTAAGGTAGCACAGGTCAAAACACAGGAGTTTTGCTACTCTTAGGGTGCTTGTACATGCAGTGGGGGTTTAATTCTCCCTAAATTGTAATGGTGGGTTTTTAAAAACCCACTGTTTCCACCGCTTCAATTTAGGGAGCACTAAACCCTCATTGTGTGCACATGGGTGAGGGGGCCCAATCCTTTCCCCCCAGCCTACCTGCCTCTTCCACCGGGGGGTGGGGAGCAAGCTGCCAGTGGGCTGAGTGGTCCATGAGCTGCACTGGGGCCCAGCATTTCCCTCTCTGGTGGCAGCACCCCCCAGCCCTGGTGGTCCCGGGGGGTGCTGCCACCGTGGAGGGAAGCACCGGGTCGCACAGCCCAAGCTGCATGAGGCCTAGTGGCAAGTTGATTGCGGCAAATTGCCTGCTAATGCAGACAGGCTCCACTGAGGTGGGGTGGGGAGGGGATGTGGGGGGAAAGTGGCAAGAAGCCTGATTTCCCCCCTCCGCCCCGGGAGCCTGCCTGCCTGAGCTTTATGGGGCCTGGTGCTTCCCTCCGTGGCAGCAGTACCCCCCAGGACTGCTTGAGTGGGGTGCCAGCAAGCCGGTGCCGCCTGGGGGGGTACCGCCACCATGGAGGGAAGGACCGGAGTCCCCTGCAGTTCAGGGACCTCTTGGCCTGCCTGCAGCTCGCCCCGCCACTGTGGGAGAGGCAGGTAGGCTTCAGCACCCTGTGCATCATCCCTGCTGCCTTCCCACTGCCTGGGACCACCCAAGAATGGCTGGCTTGCCCCAGGGCAGAGTGGCAAGGTGGCAGGAATGTGTCTGGGCGTGCTGGTGGTGGGAGAAGGTGGCCAGGGTGGTGCACAGGGTGCTGGAAGCCTGCCAAGCCTGAGCTTCCCTGAGCACATCGGCTTCCAGCGCCCCGTGCACCATTGCACTTTGTTAGGTAGCAAATGAAAACCCCCCAGAGGGGTTTTTCCTTGCTACATTACAAAGTCATTTAAAGTGAAATACACCGCCATGTGTGTAAATAGCAATGCCATTAAAGCAATGCAAAAAGGCATTTAAGCTGCTTTAAAGGCCAATTTTGTTGCATGTACAAAAGCCTTTAGTAGGTGCCATCTACACATGCAATTAAGGTGACACAAACTCTAGCACAATTCTTGCTGGAGTAAACTGATCCCAGGCATAGCATCTACATGTGTGCCCTGGAGAGCACCAATTTGAGCCAGGGTAGAGCAGGCTTGGGCTGGTAGGGGCATAAAGGGTCAGCCCCAAGCTCCAAATAATGATACTGGGTAATGGAGGACCTGGCTGGGGGACAGAAGTGCTTACACTGCAGAGCCATGTGGCTAGGCAGGAGGGAGGAGTCTGGCCCCTGCACAGTCACTAGTTACACATGCACTTCAGCACGGTTAATGACTCTGCTGTAAGATAGTACTATCAGGAATGGTACTATCTTAAGGTGGAGTTAATTAGTTTACTGTGCCCTAATACCGACACATGTAGATGGTAACACTTTACTGCAGAGCTAATTGGTCAACTGCAGCAAAACGCATGTGTAGATGCACCCAGTATGCACGTCCTGATGAGTGCATGTGTGGTTTGTGGCACCTCAAAGTTGTTTGAGGCAGCGCATGTGCATCTGTTCAGTGAACTGCTAATTTGTAGTGCAGTGGAGGCGGTTTTTTGGTTTTTTTACACTGGGAGATCCCGGGGTCAGAAAAAACCCACCGCTAAAAAATGTCATGGAGCACATGGCAACAGCATGCACCTCCAAAAATGGAGTCTTGCCAGCCACAGCCATGCTCTGGCTGCTGGCCAGGCTCTGAGCAGCTGTCTTGGCATCACTGCTGTCTTGGGAGGATCCCAGGTAAAGCTGCTGGGGTCAGCCTACAGGCCACATATGCTGCTGGGGCCAGCATAGGTGCCATTCCCCTACCTCACCCAGGGCAATTTGCCACACACCAGAGTATGTGTGCAGGGGCATGCCTGGCGACAAATAGCAGCAACACATATATGTGCCACTGCTATTTGTCCCATGGGAAATGTGTGCACCCCTCCATGTGTATCCCAATGAGTACGCACCTAGTGAATGTAGCCAGTGCTTCCTTAAATTATTAAACCTGAAAATGTTAACCTGCCTTTTTGTTCACATTAAAATTTTGTATTTTTCCCTTTTTAAATTTAAACCCTAGGTGTTGAGCTTGTAAAATGCTGGACTATGGCCTTTTAAGGTAAATATCAGCTATTCCAGGTAACATGTTTTATTGGTCTAAAGTATGATTAATGCAGTCCCATAACTACAGTTATACTAAAAAACTAGGTTCCTGTGTTGCCAGCTTTCTTTCCTAGAAATTATTTGTTTTGAAATCAATGGTATCACATTGAGATGTGGTTTGCAAAGATTCAGCTACAGGTCTTCATGCCCATCTTGTCACTTTTTACGCTGCATAGGTTGCAATTAAAGTTTCTTACGAGGTCCATTAAAAGGAACTGTTCTGGTTAAAGCAGCAAAGCATATTGGAAAATGTCTGGAGGCCACTTCATTAACTAATACATGTGTTTCCTTATATCTAGACATAAGTAACAATAATAAAACTGTAATAAGTTTTTAAATATTTTCTTTATTAAGACATAATGATCATACTTCATTTATAGAGTGGCACTGTAGAGTATATAGGTCATGTCCTAGCCAGTAGCACTTATGCCTGAATGACACACACTGGTTGAGCTAGTAATTTGTCATCTGATCATTATTCTAATTATATTCTTTTCTGCTCAGAGATGATGAGGAAATAAGTCAGATTTACTATAAATTAATTGTGGACATTTTTTCTGCAGCAGCCAGCATATGATTGTTATACTTCTTATTGTTTGATTTATTCAAACCTCATATTGCACTTTCCATATTGTAAATAATGTTTATTTTGATTTATTTTCAGTGGACCCTGCCTGCATTTGCTCCTCAGAATCCCATGGACCTACCTTCCTTTTCTTTCTTCAAACGTTATATTCCCCCCCTTCCCTTCAAGATCTTCCTTCAGGCTATAAGGAACTAGATGGGAAATTTTGAGAAGCTCATTAGTACACTTCCTCTGTTGCTCAAGGGGGTCACTGCGTAATCATATTTGATGTTACCTCCCTGACAAAGGTTTTTGAACCTTTCCCACCATGGGAAAAGACAGGCAGTACTCCACAAACATAATCATGGCTATTATGCTATATCAGTATTTGGGAAATTCATTTCCAGAACCTAGGATTCACATACTTTCTTAATCTGAATTCCCAGGAGGGTTCTTTGGGATCCTCCTTAAATAACTAGGGCTGAGCCCTAGATTATAATTGCAATGGAATGCAAATTATGAGCTATAAAGCCATCTCTAACTTTACCATATCTAATTAGTTTATCACTTAAAATACTAAACTACTTCAAGGCATGCCTGTGGACATGTTGCCATTATCTTCTTATAGAAAGTTCTGTTTGTTAGTATGGTCTGAAACATTGGGATAACAAGAGCACGTCGTACCGGTAGTAACTTGTAGGGCATGTCCACATGACTGTGCACGTGTTTCCCCAGGGCCAAATAGCAGCGGGCATATAGTTATGCTGCACCTGGGCTGGCTCCAGCAGCCTTACCTTGAGTCCTGGAGGCTCCTGAGACTGCAGTAGCAGCAGCAATCCGGGCACACAGAGCCTGGCCGGAAACCTGTGTGTGGCTAGCCAGGCTCTAGTTTCCAGTGGTGCATGCTGCAGCCATATGCACTGCCCTGCTATTTTTGGCATTTTTTTTAGATACCGTGATTTCCTGCTATTTAATTTTGGCTCTGTGCTGCAAATATGCAGCCGGGAGAACCTTTTCATATGTGTTGCGTGTGTTTTGGTATACCTCAAAAAACTTTGAGGTGCTGCAAAGTGTGCGCATATAATTTCCACATCTTATTTTCTTCTCACCCTACTTTATTTAAGGAACTGAATGCAAGTGGAAGGTGTAGGAGAACTGACAGTCCTAAACAGGGACTGCAGGGGCAAGAGTAGTGCTCTAAACTTCAGCCGTCACCTGGAGAGAACACCTGTTAAGTCTCAGTCCCTGTTCCTTTAGCTGAGGCTGCTAACCAAGGTGCCAATATGTACTAGTTTAAGGTGGTTTCAGTAATGTGGACTGCTGTCTAACAGCAAGTATGCTGAGGCTCATTTCACAGAAATCATTGAATGGCTGTCAGAGAGTAATGGTTTTTTGTGGTTACCAGCACAGGCCAAATTCAGACTAGTAACTGAGGTGAAAGGTGACCAATTTCCTGGGCTATCCAATTTCCACTCCTATTATATTACTTAATATCCTCTGTGTCTTGTAGAATTTCGATATACATCCAAAAAAGTGGTATTGTATGATTCCTTCAGAATTCTACTGCTGTTTCTTATCGTAGAAATGTAGGTGCTGACATAGTTTAAAAAATATAATTATGAATGTCTCAAAGATTCAATAAAATGTATCTTATTGCTTTGCCCAAAGAAAGCTGCTTTGGCTAGTTTCCTCCGGGTAACTGTCAGCAATCTAATATCACATAATACTTAATATATTTAAGTGCATAATACTTTGCACTTAAAACACCTGTCTGCTAAGGAATATAACATTCTTTACAAAGACAGATCAATATTATTCCCATATTACAGAGGAAGCACAGCAATTTGGAGAACAGCATGCAGTGCATCCGGACAAAGCTGAGAGGGAGATCCCTGTGCTTTACTCCAGGACACTGAGCAAAATGACTGTAGCATTGCAAAAATGTTCCAAAACCCTATACCCATTAGGGATCAGACGTCCCCCAGTGCAGAAACTGTGACCACAGCCTAAAGATGGTCTTCAAAGGCTTGTGGGTATGTTGAGTCGCATGCAGAACAGTGTGACCTACACAATAACACAGGCAGACAGCCATCACATAGGTCACTGGAAGAAGTTAGGCTGGAGCAGCCTAGAATTGGGAGAACGCAAAGGTGGCTCAAAGCAACTATAGATCTTTTCCTCATGGCTACAAATTCTATGTTGTTCCTTTTAAAAGTGCAGAACAGAACCTTATTCTAAGCTTCCTGACTACTATTGCTCCTCTAATTACCAGTCAAGGCTGGTTCCATAACAACTTGGCAAAATAGGCCTGTAAAAGCCTAATTTGGTGTGTGTTGCAGAACTAAGCAGTGAATTTTCCTTTTGTTGTTGTTGTTGTTGTTGTTGTTGTTGTTGAAATTGTCCTTATCATGGGTTAATCAGTTGTATTGTGCCTGTCTCATGACTGTAATATAGAACTCACCCCCTGTATATCCCCTCTTTTCTATTTGGCACACTAAAAGATTATAATATGTAATCAAACATATATCATGTGTGTGGGAGTGTTGGGAGGGGCTGTATTCACCAACACTTTCAAGAATGACTATTGCTTTTGTTACCTCAGTGTTTGGGTGCTCAGCTTGTGACACATTAAAGAATTAGAACACGAAAGCTGATTTTTTTTTTTTTTTTTTTTTTTTGAGTGGAAGCTAAGCACTTCTTGAATATTGGGCACTTTTTTCAGTGTCTTCAGTTGGGCAACCAAAATCATTTGTTAAAATTCTGGATATGAGAGAGTGGTAAAACACCTTAAGACTCATCAGAATAAAAGGCTCTAAGAATTTGTAAGGTTATTCTTACTGCAAGCTGTAAGATCTTTGTAAATTCAAACATTATTAACTACCTTCTTTCTCTATTAGTACAAATTTGCCCTTGGCAATGGAGAGTGCTGTCTTGTCTGCCTTGCAGGCATTCACACAATTAACTCTCTTTCAAAAACATACACAAAGTTCCTGCTGTCACCATTCTTAGGCAAATACATTCAAGCTATGTCTGATATATGAGGTATGTTTTTACTGGGGCAGAATTAACATGCATTAGCTATTTCATTGTGGAAAAATATTGCTGATTAGTGTTTTAGTGCGACAGTGAGGACATTAACTGTGGGCAGAAAAATGTATTGACCTCCCCTAATAATCTCGCCTTATCTACACTTAGGATTTTACAAGGGATAACTGTCATATGTTAGTTATTTCTCTGTAAAAAAACCTTTGTGTTAGTGAAGACAAAACATCAGCTAAATGACACTGGGAATACCTGCACAATAGTGGGGGCATCTACACATGCAATTAATGTTCCTCATTAAACTCTGGCACAGTTTGTGCCAGATTTTATTGCTTCCAGGCTTGCATGTGCACCAGGATTGCAGCATGTTAAGCCAGGTCAGAGCAGCTTCAGCTGGCAGGGGGCCCGGGAAGTCGGCTTGCCAGCCTAGGGTTGCTTTGACCTGCCTCAATGTGCTGCAGAGGGGCTAGCTGGTGCATGAGGGTGCTCCAGGGCGGGGCTATCCAGCAGTACTGAAGCACCCTTGGGCTCTAGACAGTGCCATGAGTGTCTACACATGCATTGTGGTGCAGTAAATAATGCTGCCGAGGGATAATACTTGTGTTTACAAGTACTAACCTACAGCAGCCTTTATTAGTCTAATGAGGCCTAATATGGCAAAATATATAGACACTGTGCATATCTACATGTGCACTAATGTGCTTTTACTAATGCACATTAAATTTAGTACTTCTAATATGAGCTACTAAATAAATGCATGATATGCTGCACTAATGTGTAGTAGTGCAAGCACAGGCTTTTCAGGTGATGCTTAATGTGCAGTAGCCTATTCTACTGCACATTAGCATTTTATCACGGTTTTTGATGCACTTTAATGCACAATAGAATAGGCTACTGTGCATTAAAGTGCATGTATAGACATGCCCACTGAGACTTTACTACAGAGGCAATTCGGCAACTCTGCAGTAAACGTCTCATGTAGACGCGCCCAGTATCTGCAGTATAGCATAGACATATTGGCTATTTGCAGATGTTAAAAGAAACAAAACAAAATGGGGCTTTACTTTAAATTCTGCATGCTTCTGTGCCAAGCCCAGCACAAGCCCAGAAGAGGCAGGCAGTAGTTGGACTTAGCTCACCTGATGTCTGTATAGATTAGGTGTTTTAGTGGGGCTTTTTTGGCACTTTTTTCTAATACCTGATTGAATCAGCTTTAGCTAAAAGCGCCAAAAAGTCCCACTGAAAGGCCCAATTTGTACAGGTGCTGCGGAGCTGGGTCAAATTAACATACTGCTTCTTCCAGTAAAATGCTTTTTTTTTTTTTTTTTTTTTAAACATCTGCAAACAGCCATTGAAGCTAGCTTAGGTACCAGTAGCAGATGAGCAACAGGAGCACAGACCTCTGGTGTTGGCTGTAACATCTACCTGAAAGGCTGGGTAAATTAATCCGTGCTGAGTTTCAGGCAGTTGCAGATAGACTCCTGCTGGTACCAGTTACACAGTTTAAAGCTAGCTTGGGTATGTCTATACTATGCTGCAGTCACTAATGTGACTGCAGCATAGACATATTTAGTACATACACAGGGTCTGACTCTCAGTTTCATATAGACACCTGCCTTTCTCACCTTTTTTAAAATCTCATTCATTCCTTTGCAAACATCATGTTACTATATTAAATAAAAATAATATGTTATTCTATAAGAATGACAAAAATGTTGTAAATCCCAATAGTTATACTGTAGTTTTCGGAGCAATTATGATAACATATTAAAAATATTTTAGTAAGAAAGGCCTCTCACCCACACTCTCTCTCGCACACGTCTAATGTAATCATGCTGCAGCAATGTACATTGAACCATGCCAATCTGTTAGGCTGTTGTACAGAAATAAGGCAGTTTATTATATCTCTAGCAGCTACAAAAAAAACAAATAGGCCAAATATCTGTTGCAGAAAGATTTTATTCACTTTGCATGGATGGATTTTTATAACTTTCAAGCATATGTACCCTCTGTAAGAATATGCTCTCTTTTCAGAAATGAAAAAGGAAAAGAAATCTAGGAGAAAAAAAGGAAACAGCAATCATAATACCACTATTTATTAACTAGAAAAGCAGTAAGCACAAACTACAGCAGTCTCCTAGTAAACAATACACTGGAGGTTCCATGTGGCTTTGTAAGCAATCAGATTGGGGCATGCTTGTCCTTCTAAGACGACTCAGGACTCCAGACTGAGAACACAATGGTGCCAGGCAGCCAGACAATGGGCCTCTTCAACCTGTGACTTCAGTTTTATGTTGGTGTGATTGTGCTGAACTCAACACTGTGCCCCATTGTTGTAAAATGCTGTAACAGGTCTGTTAACTGTAGTAAATGCTGATGAAAAGGGAGAAATTCCTAATTTTGATGAAGATTATTGAATAAATGGAATGTATTGCATCTTGAGATTATAATGGCCAAAGCCTGGTATATTATTTGGAATATTTCCTTATACCCTGAAATTGTTATAAAAATATTGAGTCCTTTTCCTTTAATATGCTCACACAACTTCAATTTAATAACTCTTTCTGAAAAATATATTCAAGTTTGCCCACAATTTATTAAGCTCAGTACAGAAACTTCTGCATGAAATCCAAAGCCTTGTGTTAAAGGCTAAAATTAGCTTATTAGGAGGCATTTCTAGGGGTCCTGTAGCCTTAACATCTATGAATCTATGGGCTCCTATAGACATGCAGGGAGCATGCTCCAATTCACAGGAAATCACATGTATCAGTGTCCCCGCGCTGAAAAAATGGCGGCAGGGCACTTTGAACTAAAGCATGTTCAATGAGCTTTGGTTCAAAGCACCCCATGCCATCTTTCAGTGAGCTTTATTCGAAAGTGCCCTGTCGCCCATAAACGATGCATGCCCCCAGTGGCTGGAGGGGCACAGCGGCGGCTGGAGCACGGCTGTGGTAAGTGGGAGCTCCCACAGACGCTGTCTGCAGCAGGGAGGGTGGTGGCGGCGAGTGCCAACCAGGATTCAGCAACCACCTGCAGATGCTGCCAGCAGTGTCAGCAGCAGCTGGCGGGGATCGCTGACTGCCCGCAGTCACCACCGACAGCACTGGTGGGGAGCATGGTGAGGCAACCGGCCACAGGCACTGCTGACAGTGCTTTTTTGTAGAGGGTGCACTGCCACGCTCAGGGGGTGCACATGCACCCACGTGCACCCCCTACGCGTTGCCCCTGCTGCTGCCATTTTTTCAGTGTGGGGACATTGATACATATGATGCTTGGGAGCTTTTAATTAGTGTGGCTAGCTAATAAAAGCGCCCGGGGCCATGTCCTAGCCTGTGTGTAACAATGCCCTGTAATGTTTTAATGAAATAACATACTACGTAAGTTTTGTCATAGCAGGAGAGAAACAGAAAGCCGCATTTTTTTAGAGCTACTTATATCAAGCATCTCTGTAGAAGTGAGCTTTTGCATGCATGCCTGAGGTTTTTTCCTCTCTGCCATTTGTTCTGATTGGCCAGAGGTAATTCAGAGGCAGGCTACTACGCAGCGAGGTGTTATTGCTACCATCTGTTTCCTTTCTAAAAGGTCATGAAGTTTTCTTTTTCTACCTTTTGTTAACAACATTTCAGATAGACACTTGTTCACTTTCTCTCTCACTTTTCTGCATCTAGGAGCCTGAACGCTCCTACTGATATTGCCTGGAATTCTTTCACTATCTTCAGTCCAGTATCAGCTGTTGGACCAGGGGTGAAATAAGATTCATTGGTCAGGGCCCGCCCTAAGCCTCAGCCTGCCCTGCAGCTGCACCATAGGTGCAGAGCCGCTGCCTGCCAGGTGCAAGCAGTGTGGACTGACTCTATGAATGGCCCCTTGTCCTGCTGAGGCTCAGTCTGGCTGCAGCGGCTCCTGTCAACTGGCACCCAGAACCCACAGCCTTCCACCCAGCCTGGCCACTGGTTTTGTCCACTCCAAGGTTGGGGCCCCTGGGCCCAGACATTAATCTGCCTGTGTTGGATACTGCAGTAGAAAAATCGATGCTCTCTCTCTACACAGGTACACTAAGTGCAAGGGTGTTGTTTTTTCAAACACCCTGAAGCCTCAGTCCCTCCTCATTTCCTCTTACTACACTACCTCATCCCTTCATTTATCCACCCTTTCCTTTGACCTAATTATTTCATCCATCTTTATCCTCACCTCTTCATTCTGCTCCTCAGGCAGGGGACATATTGCTCCTTACCGCAAGCTTCTATAAACCAAGCACTATCTGTGTAGGACATCCAGAAGAGACTAGACCTTTACTAGGATCTACACTAGGAGACTAGTTCACTCACTCTAGTCCTTTCTTTCTGTTTTCTGTGTCTGTATGGAAATCCACACAATGGGACCTGGGGCTTTGGTGCTACCCTTTCCTTTCCTTCCTCCACTACTTTCTTCTGTGATGTGAAATATATTGGTCTAATAGGTGCATCTCTACCTTGCCTTCTGCCTGAAATATTGAACAATGTCGACATTTAAACTGACTTAAGTGGACTTCCTTCCGATTTACCACCCCCATGGAGATGATTAGCTGAAGCTCAGATAGCACAGAATTAGCCCAGCAGGCAGCCAACGCTGTGTTGGTTTATGCCCTAATCGGTTAGTGTGACGGCCATTCCATTAATATTTTATGTATATATTTATGAAATAATTGTATCATTTATATTTTTATGTTCTGATGCTGTGATATAATCCAATACGTAACATAATATAATGCTGCTGTAATATATATAGGAACTATTCTATACAGTATGTATATCACATAACACATAGGTAACATATGCTGTTATAGTTATCTATCTATACATGTGAAGTGAGTAGTAACTTTGAATTATTAAATATCATTATAAATAATAATACTCCTTATTATTTGTAATTTCCCTGACAAGAGGATATATGTATCATACTACAGTTATCTATTTATAGGTATGAAATGAACAAGTAATTTAAAATTATTCTTTAATATTATTATAAATATTAATAATAATAAAAATTATTTGCATTTTCCCTGACAACAGGAAATATACACCATGCTACAGTTTTCTATCTCTAGATATGAAATGAGTTATTTAAATTTAAAGCATTATAAATAATAAGAATAATGATTTGCATTTTCCCTGACAACAGGAAATATACACCATGCTAGTTTTCTACCTCTAGATATGAAATAAATGCTTTTAAATGATTTAATATTACTATTATTATTAATAACAATGAATTATTAATAATGGGAGTGGGAGCAAGGGGTGATTCAAATAATAATAATAGTAAGACTATTATAAGATAATAATTATTGTTATTATTTGCAGTGTCCCTGACCAGAGTCTTAATACTTGAAACACCCCTCGCACCCACTATGAGGAAAGCAGCCCCGACTCCAGGAAGCACCCCACGAGGGGTGGATACAGCCCCTCCCCCAGTGCCTCACCCCTGCCCTAGTGCCCCTCCCCCCGCTTCCTGCCCTTCCTTCCCGCCA